GTGGGTGGGTGGGGGTGGCAGTTTATACATCCTCCACACTGTAGAAAAGATTTAGTTTCACACACTTTTAACACTCAAAGGGACTTCAGACAGTATCAGCATCCCTGTTGCTGTTCCCGACTGGCGAAACGTTTTTCTCCTCCATGTGTCTGTTTTTACAGTCGACTGCAAACGCTGCCTCCCAATTTTATGAGTATCATGGCCTTAAATGTGAATTATTTGGCCATTTTTACTGAGTGCCGGGGGTTAATGTACTTTTCACTGACTCTTAATAAAGATTTCTACATATTCTGATGGCATGTCATACCCCGAATTTGCCAGCAGATGGCATCAGAGTCTAGTTCATGGCCATTAGTAAAACCTGACCTCCAGGGAGTGATGCAGCTGCTGGGTGAAAGTGTGGGAGTGTTGTAAGTGATGTAGGTGACAATTCTACCCTGACATAAGCCTGTCAGGTTGCGATCAGGGGCATCTTAAAAAGTCAACATCATTTAATCATTTAATTTAAAATGTTTAAATTTTAAAATCACATTTTAGGCCTTAAAAATGTTTTAAATAGGAATTTAACAGTTCTTAAAAAATTATTTGATTGAAGTTGTAATTGTATTAAGTTGCATTTTCTGTCTGAATTTTAAATTTTTTACACTTACTTATTTTTTACACATTTTTAAACTACAAAACCGAACTGACATGAAGCCAATGCCAGATCCTTTGTACTTTTTTTGCCAGTATGGATGTAAAATAGGTCTTAAATTGCTCTCAAGATGGTCTTCAATTTAACCCGTAGACACCTGCAGAAACCTGGATGTAGCCTTGTAGAAAGGACTCCCTGAAATGTTGATCTAAGAGCTAAATATTCCCTCAAACATTTGAAGTGACTTAATGACAGTTGTAGAATTGTCTTTGATACGTCTACACATGTACGTCGTACATCTCATTTCAAAGGGTTGTGACAGGGTTAAGACAGTATCATGTGCTGACCCCAACACCCTTTAACTTAAATTTGTGTTTAGCCACTTGGGGGCAGTGCAGCAAG